ACCAGTCTGTCAGCACAGGGAGAATTTTAAGAAATAATATAAACAACAATACCAACAGACTACTGAGCCAAACTGGTATCAGATTCCCCAACTTGAGCAAACTTGATTCCCCAGTTATGAGCAAATGGCACACTGAGCAAAAAATATCTTCTCACCAATGAAAGATTCTTAAAAATGATTGCTTTATATTTTGCAATAACTTAACCACATCTAGAGCACACAAAATAATGAAAATGACAAAAATACTTTATTCATTAAATTATATGTACTCAAAAGAAAATGGGGAACCAATGCTCACAAAAAGAACATGTGATTATCATTTATTTTCTGAGAGAAGATATTGTACATTTTACACAAACCTGCATTCCTAAGGTTTGATGACTACTGAGGGGATCCTGCATATACTGCATTTCAATAGTCTAGCACTGTGATTACAAAACCCATCAACTCTAGTCGCTGTAATCTCATCAAGTTAAGAGAGGCATCTACTAACCATAACTACTTCAGGCTCATTAAGGCTCACCTTCAATTAATTGCTATCAAAATGGCAGCCCAGCCAGAAACATCAGCATTGCAAGACCCAGGCCAGATGAAAACCAGACATAATTGAGTTACATCAGCAAACAATTTTTAAGAAACTGTTCTAAGATTTCTTGCATTCGCATTAAACTATGTGCTCACTCTGTGACCCTTGGCCTCCTGAATGAAGACAGTAATCGCAAACAGGAGTGAGAATTGTTCCTTGTGAAGTATTTAGAAACCAGCAATTAAAAAGCTACAACTGACAATCTGCAGTTGGGAGAAACAAATGCTAATGAACACACCATATGTGCCACTTTGACTCTATATTTTTCTTCCTTCATTTTAGAGAAAGAATTTTTTTGGGTCCTTCACTTTTTTCCTGACATATACTATAGCTGGTTATACCTTCTATGTCTCCAAAACAATGAACATAAGCACATGAAACTGGACACAGGACTGCACTCTAGACTGCTAACATTTTTGCAGTTCTGTGTACAGTTACATCTTATCTTCCTGAAATTCTCTTCCTTGCCCACTGCATTTTAAAAGTTTCACCGAGTGATGCTGACGTAGATGGGTCTTCTTTCTCTGTTGCGCAAGAGAAAAGGGAGGAATAGAGAAAAGAATTTATGGAAAGCCTTAAGCTAGTCTAGAATCTGTGACGTCCTTAATGCTGTTTAAAGAAATATGCTTCATTCAGTCCATAGAGACCCTATTGGTTTGACAACAATGCTAATTATAATCTAAAATATTTCTCCAAAAAACCCAAGACGCAGCAGCTTGTGGATATGCAGTGTTTCAAACACATTTCATCCTCAGTCTATACACATTCAACTGATTTTTGATCTAAGGTTACCTCATGGAAAATGAATCTTGGAAATCTTTAAGATTCTACTCTTTCTTCCACATACTACAATTGGTACATTTTATTAAAGAAACCAAACATGACACAAAAACAAACTTTTGAGGGTCTTTGGGCATTATGGCTGATTCTAACAGAAATGCTGTCCAGCTAAAGATATTGGTCCTTCTCTCCCAATAAAATAAAAAAAGAAGATGAAAGCCTTCATATATTTATTTGGAAGTAAACTCCATTATGTTCTGTGGGGATTTCTTCTGTGAGTAACCACCCTTATGACAGGATTCAATTCCATCTCACTTAGAGGAGACACTGGTATTACTTTGGGTAAACTGCCACTTCCCAGGCTTCTGAATGAGGCATATTATGCAAATACATTCCAAGATGGCTTCAGACAGGATGATGGGCTGAGATCAACGGACTCTCTATGCCACATCTATACAGGTAACAGGTGGCATTTTTGTTCTGCTAGGTATCCTGCAGCTTTCAGCACTATTCACCATGAGGGTCATTTGAGTCATCAGTCCAGGGTTAGACTTGGAGGTGCTATTTTAAAGTGGCTCTACACCCTCCACATCCTGAAGCTGAGGCTCCAATACTTTGGCCATCTGATGAGAAGAGAAGGCTCCGTGGAAAAGACCCTGATGTTGGGAAAATGTGAAGACAGGAGGAGAAGGGGACGACAGAGGACAAGATGGCTGGACAGTGTCACTGAAGCTACCAACATGAATTTGACCGAACTACAGGAGGCAGTGGGAGACAGAAGGGCCTGGCATGCTCTGGTCCATGGGGTCACGAAGAGTCAGACACAACTTAGTGACTACACAACACCTTCTCAGAGGAGTAACTGCAGAAGATGGAACTGTTGTGGAGCTGAACTCATGTCTGACACTGTGAAGCAGAGATGTGAATCTCCCAGCACCTAGTTCTCCAAGATGTGAAAAAACATCACTTTTCTTCTCATGATAAGATTCTCTTAACATGATTTCTCTGCACTCTTCCCTGCCCCCCCCAGCCAGTAATCTCACAAGAAATCTTATAAGAGTACTGTACTATGAACTTTTGTGGGGGAGAGGTCCTCAAAGAAACACCAAAATATGCAGAATTTTTACAAATCCTGCCCAGAATGGCATTCTTCCTGTGAAAGATTCATTTTTCATGAGCCAAAAGACAGAGAGAAGTCTCAGAAGAGAGTTTCTCAAGTGAGATTTGGCAAAACTGCAGACAATGAGAAATGTCACAAATAATTGTCACAATCCTCCTGTGAATAATGGTCTATGATATACTTTAAGATTCTGTTTCATCTTCTATGCTATTTAGCATATACTTGAACCACTGGAAGAGTACAGTGGACCCTCTTCTTACGGAATTAATCCGTATTGGAACGGTGGCTGCAGGTCGAAAAGTCTGTAGGTTGAGCCTCCATTGACCTACAATGCATTGAAAACTGATTAATCCCATAACTGGCCATTTTTGTTCTATTTTTGTTCCATTTTGGGTTTTTTCTGGTCTGTAGGTCGATTCTTCGGCTGCGAGTCGAATCTAAATTTTACGGCCAGAGAAGTCTGTAACTCGAAAAGTCTGTAAGTCGAGCCGTCTGTAAGTCAAGGGTCCACTGTATGGAGGTTCACTGATATCAATACGGCATAAATACACCAACAATACCCAATTCTTTCATTTCCATCTAAATCCAATGAAGATGTTCTTGTTTTACATCAGAATCAGATGTCATTAAGTAAGGAGCACCTGAAGATCAACCCAAACAAGACAGAGATGTCCTCAATTTGTCACATGCACAAGAGGGATGAAGGATTCATCTTGTGCTGTTTAGGACTACCGTATATTCCCCCTGAAGACTCAAGTTCAAAAGATTTGAGTATATTCATGGATTCACCCTGAATACATACATTTTGTAAGCAAAGAGTATATTTTCCGCCAGTGCTTCATCTTAGAGACACTAGAAATGGCAATGAGAGAACACATACTTTTGTTGCATACCATTTAGACTACTACAACTCATTCAACATGAGTTGAATCTAGAAAAATGTTTGAAAATGTCAGTTGATCCAAAATGTCCCTAGACTTTTGAGCAAGCGCAGATACAGAGAACACATGACTTGCTTGTTATATTTTCACTGGTTAACCTGTCCATTTGCAACTACAATTTTTTTACAGCCCTATCTGATCTTGCCAAGGTCTTTGATCCTAGGAAGAGGCCTTTCCTTCAGTCCTACCATGATCAGACGCCCTTCTGGTGTAAACATAAGAGAGGGCCCTCCCTTGAAACAGTTAGCTCACTTTCAGCAGTCCTAGCACCAGCAGACAAATGTATTTTTACTTTGACAATGTTGGAAGGAAGAGGGGTTAACTGCTTGAATACTAGTTCTTTTATTGCTGCATTTTTAATTGATTGGCTTTACTATTTAATCCATACTTTATTTTTAGTTATGAATTTTAGTGTTCTTAGTAGCCTTGACCACGTGAAATGGATTGAAATGTAATATATAAGTGAGCACGGTTACAACTGGGCTGCTTATGTAGAAAAGATCTTTGAATCCAGTGCTAAAACAGAACTACTGTCACAGAACACAATCCACCCACAGACATTCATTACCAGGAGGTGGAAAATCAACCGTTTTGCAACTTTTCAACCACTCTCTTGACTTGCATAAAAAGTGATTTTTAACCCCGCTAAATATTTCACTCTCTAGAAAACAATGCTGTTCAGGAAGGTGGCAGTTCAAGGGTTAAATCTCTAGTCTTTCAAGCATTCAACACCTTAGCTTAGGATGGAAGTAGTAAGTCCAGGGCGTCTTCACTCTTCAAACATGGAAATATCCAATGCCTTCCAGAAAAGCAGAAAAATGCAAATACTTGAAATCGTCGGGAGGTTAAGAAATGATACCAGTTTCTGAAAGGAATACAGTTGTAGTTCCGCTATCACAACGATTTTAGAAAAGAATTTTTGTTTGCCATGCACCACACAACAGCTATCTTAAGATTAAAGCAAATCACCCGATAAACATCAGCTGAACCAGAAAAAGTGCGCCTAAAGGCAAGGACAGTGACAAAAGTTCTGCGTTTAATTTCCATTAATATCGTCGAGAAATGAAGGCTAGCAAATCTCAGGAGCCCAACAAAGTTAAAAGCCAGAGACATGTCTGCGTGGAGGCAAGAAAAGCCAACGAGGCAAAAAAAAAAAGTTCCCTTTTTCTGCAGCCTTTTCATGCCTTAAGAGAAGACGCACGGCCAGGAAAGTTTTAAAACAGAGAAATGCCTTGAGGCGAGAAACAGACGAAACATACATACATAATAATAAGAATCAGAAATATACATACACGACACCCAGATCGTACTGAAAGAAAAAAAAAGGGAGGGATCGTCCGCAACTCTTTTTGAGTCACATCATCAGGGGAGGGAGGGAAGAAAGTTGGAGGTTTTGCTAGGAACCGACGCCTGGAAAAGCAATCTTGCTTACGGAACAAATTGGCCAAGAGAAACGTGTAAAAGAAACCGAATGCAGTGCGGCTCAAAGGAAGGGGGGGGGAAGCAAAGGGCAGAGGAAAGGAAGCAATCCTCGGGAGAAAGGCCACCGCTCCCCGTCCCCCAACCCAATTACCTGGGCCAGGCGTCGTCTCCCCGCTCCAAGCTCCTGCTACTGCCACCCCACGGAATCGCGGCTCCCGCAGCCCGTCAGACCGACCCAAAGGGGTCTTCCCGCCCTCGCCGCCGCTGCTGCCGCCGCCACCTTTTCCAGCCAGCCGCCTGCTGGTGTGCCTCTTCCCAAGTTGGCGGGCTCCAGTCATTCACTTTGCTGTGGGGCAGCGGGGAGGCGGCGGCGGCGGAGGCGCCGTCAGCAACACCATCCTTTGCCCAGCGCCGCTCCAGGGAGGAGGCAAAAGCAGGGTCTGTGGCGGGGGAGGGAGCGCTGCTTTCCCCATATAATGAGACGGTGAGGCTGCTGCAACTCCTGAAGAGCAGCAGAGGCAGGGCGGCGGGAGCACCAGCAGCGAAGGGAAAGCTGTGGGGCACCGTCAGCGCCCTGCCGCAGCCACCGGTCTGGCTGACGGTGGGAGTCGGTGGGTGTGGACCGGTGGGTGGGGTGCGCGCTTCCCGCTCCCTCCTCCGTCCCACCTGGCCTCTGGCCACCGCTTCGATAGCTTACCCTTCCGTCCCGCGGGCAGGTCTTGAGAGCAATGTCTTCGCCTTCTCGCGCCCTTCAGCATTTGGCGCCTTTTCTCACCTGCCTGCCGCGCACTCCGTGCACAAATGGCGTCTTGCCTTGCCCCCCTAAGAGAGCCGGGCCCCTTCGCTCGCGCCTTTCCCCCCCCCACCCCGAATCGCCTGGCGCGGTTCTTCCTTGTAGGCTTCGAACATACCTATTGTCACCCCCCTACCCCCCACCCCCCGAAAGGCTGTGTTCGCCCTCCACAACCCTTCCTCTGCTAACTTCCCCTTCAGCCGCCTTAGCTGGCACTAGAGAACAAAATAGGAGGTTGGGGGAAGGAGTGGCAAAGCCATTGCTCGAGCAGGAGTTGTACAGGATATCGTTAATAAAAAGCAGGCACGTTACTAGGGCGGGTATAGTAAACATGGACTCTTGACTGAAAGCTGGAGGAATGAATGCTGTAGTGGGAAATAATTCGGTGCTAATGTGTGCGGCCTCTTGGAATGGGAATGCAAAGGTGGCCACTCACATCATCAAAAAGAAGAACAGGCCATCAGTGAAGAAGTCAAAACGTACCGATTTGCATAAAATTGCATGTGTTACTTTATATGTTACAGAGGGAAGTTGAGAAAAGATTTTTCAATGAACTAGCTACAGTTAACAGGCCTGTAACACAAGTGAGAAACACTGCCCAGGTGACTGGCATCTCTGCTGCATCTGCTATCTACCTGCTCACAATGGATGCACAATTTCAAGGTTCCTGATCTCTGTTTATGCTCCTTTTTCTTTGAAACAAACTTGACATGGCCAAGCCTTCCTACTTGAGAATGTTTTCAAAAAGATGACTGCCTTGCACTAAACCTTTAAGTAGAATGTAAAAAGTAAAGGTTCTCCTTGACATTTTTAGTCCAGTCGTGTCCGACTCTAGGGAGCGGTGCTCATCCCATGTTCAAGCCGTAGAATCCAGTCGTGTCCGACTCTAGGGAGCGGTGCTCATCCCGTTTTCAAGCTGTAGAGCCAGCGCTTGTCCGAAGACAGTTTCCGTTGCCACGTGGCCAGCATGACTAGGGAACGCCGTTTTACCTTCCCACCGAGGTGGTACCTATTTATCTACTCGCATTTGCATGGTTTCGAACTGCTAGGTTGGTGAGGAGCTGGGACAAAACAATGGGAGCTCACTCCGTCACTTGGATTCGATCTTACGCCTGCTGGTCTTCTAACCCTGCAGCACAGGCTTCTGCGGTTTAGCCCACAGCACCACCACGTCCCTTATACAGTGAGGTCTTGACTTGAGAACTTAATCCGTATTGGAAGGCGGTTCTCAAGTCAAAAAGTTCGCAGGTCAAATCTGCATTTCCCATAGGAATGCATTGAAAACCATTTGATCTGTATCTGCTCTTTTCCGTCCATAGAAACTAATGGGAAGCTGCTATTCGGCCTTCGACCACTAGAGGGGGATATTTTGTTTCTTTTTTTCTTAGGTCAAGAAAGGCCCAACAGTTAACTGAAAGTTCACATTTTGCACTTTTCCTGCCTCCCACGTGTTTTTTTTCAGTTTTTTTTCAGTTCGTAACTCAAATCTAAGTACGTAAGTCAAGTCAATATTTTTCTATGAGAGCGGTTCGTAAGTCAGAATGTTCGTAACTCGGGCCATTCGTAGGTCAAGACCCCACTGTAAGTAGAGTGTAGAGATCTTGAAAACAGAATGTGGCCACTTTATTTTGGAGACATCCGTTCACACCAGGGAAATACTTCTGGTATTCTTTTACTTCACTTTTTAATTTTTTGTTTAACCAACTACACATTTTTCAGAGGAGAGCTTTGTGGATACCCAGGACAAACAAGTGGACCCTAAATCAAGTCAAGCTAAAACTACGTATCTTTGGAGGCAAAAATTTTGAAACTAAGGTTGGCTTACTTCAGGCACATCATGAGAAGGCAAGACTTGTTGGAAAAAGACAACAATGCTAGGAAATTTTGAAGGCAGCAAGAAAAGAGGAAGATCAAATATGAAATGGACCGACTCCCTAAAAGAATCACAGGTTTGAGTTTACAAGAGCTGAGCAGGGCTGTTGAGGACAGGACAATTTGGAAATTGCTCATTTATAAGGTTGCTGTAAGTCAGTTGTGAATTGAGGGCACATAATGACAACAAATATATTCCTCAAAAGCATTTATATTCTGTAGTTATTAAAAGTAGCTACTTAAAGGTTTTAAAACACATTTTTTTAAAAAATGAAACTTGCATATGAACCCTACATGGACAACATTTTAGATCAGAAGTCCTCAGACTCCGTTACCAGGACCCATTTGAAAGGGCTAAAGCCCACATTTGGACTTCAGCCCTTTCGGTGCCCAAACGGTGACAATATCAAAGTATGGCTAGACACAAAACGGAGATGAGCGGGGGTAAAATTTGAGATAATCAGCTGTCAGTCAGTTGACATCTTATTTATTTTTGGAAATTAGTACATTCTTTCCCATAGCAATTTTCTTCTGATAGAGAGTTCTACAGTTCAGTTTTTCTCCAGCTACATACAGATATGGTCTCTGAAGGCATTGATAGCCTGTCCATCTTAAGCTAAATGTTGTAGTCTGGAGGCTGTAAGATAGAAAAGTATTTATTTTATGTTCACTCATGCCTTGTCCCAATAGCTTCCAAAATAATTTTCTCTCAGCCATGTCTTCTCCCCCTTTCCTTTAACACTTAACTTGCACATATTTCTACTATAACATAAACATTGTTTTCATCCCTCTGCATTTTACTTTCACTCGTGTAGCTCATGGAGAGGGGGACAACTTCTTCCACCATTTCAGGGTAAAACATGCTCCCCTCCCCTTCGTTCATGAGCCACCAGTGCATTTACTTTTCCTATAGCAATCTCATGTCAGATTCTACTTGAAGGAATTACACAGGTTCAGAGGATAATCAGTTTTTAAAACCTCATCCAGACCGAGCATTTGTTCCTCCCTTCCTCCCACTTTGTTCCAGACAGTGTTGAATAAGTATGGATCTAATGGGAGTTTCTGTCCAAATTTATTTTTAGCCCTTCATGTTTTTCTTTAAGAAATCATTATCTTTTTAAGGATTGGTTTGAAAATATTTCAAAAGGCTTAAATAAATACATTACTTTAAAATGATCTTCTGTGTTGGACTTGTATAAGTAGATTAGTGGTACCACTGAAAACTTCTATCTGAATTCTTTTCAAAGGAGATTCAGTCCATGGATAATCTGCTTTAGAAATCTTCTGTCTTTCCCAACAATTCATTTAAAAATGTTGAGAAAAACTTTTAAATGAAGAACAATGTTCTAAACTGAATTTTTAGTTTTGTCTGTTCATTTGTAAATTGGCAGTAACACTGAAAGCTTCCAAACCAAGAAGCTCTTGCTACCTAAAACCTCTACTGTTACAAAGTGAAATTTGAAAAAAAATGTAAAAAGAAGTGTTTCTTTAAAAAAAAAAACCTGGAAAAACTGGGGTTCTGTTACTATTTCGTGCTTTGCCATTGTTGGTACCAGTTTAAGCCTTTCATCATTTAAATGGGAATGATGAAATTTTGCCCTGATGAAATATCAGGGGAAAATACTGATATCATCAGTGTGTAGTTGGGTACATATAGGAGAAAAAAGTGCTTTGGATGAGCCCCAAAATAAAAAGAAATATTGTGGTACTTTAAAAACTATTTATTTCAGTGAAAGTTTTTGTGGATTATAATCCACTTCTTTAGATAAGTGAAAAAAGTGACTGGTTTGTATATGCGACAAACCACTTCTGAGTGTTGTTATCATTATTATTATTATTACATAGAAGTATTGACTTTGCAAGTACCTGGCTATCTATTTGTCTGTAACCCCCACCCCCACCCCATTACTTTAAATACAACATTGCTGCAGTTGTTTAGAACCCTGCATATGGAATACATTGTGAAGGAAATGGTGGATGATGGACCATCACTCCCATAATTCCTTACAATGAACTACTATTGCCAGAGGAATCAGTACAGTTGATACCTTTCTTGAAACCAGGGGAAAGACAGTAAAACTCTCAAAAGTGTGTTCTCAAAGCGTGTTGGTCCTGACCCTTCACTTGCTCCCTAATTTCAATGTTGTTTTGTGTCCTCAGGCTGGAACTGCCTTATAGCAACCCTATAATAGGGTTTCAGGGTAAATGAGATATGTAAGGAGTGGTTTAACCATTATCAGTCCCTCAGTGAGTTTCCACGACCAAGGTGAGATTTGAACCCAGGCCTCCTGAATTGTAGTCTGTCGGTCTTCACTACACCACACTGGATACCTAATTTAAATGTTACTGGAATAAAATGCAATGAAATCCCGTAGAACTAGCTTCCTCTCACAGTGGCACCTGATGCCCTTTGTGGCTCATGGGCGTAACACACAGAAACCAGTACTGGGTGGAGCTAGGGGGAAATAGGTATTTGTAAATGCAAACACAGAGTCAGCCTTTCAGACACAGTTTACAAATGCACACGGGACCTCTGTTTCTGATAAGAAGACAGGCTGGTGTAGACTCGCTGGAGTGCAGCCTGCTGCTGAGATGGAACAGTACTCTACTTGCCCTAAAGGATAAATTGCCACTTCTCTGCCCCTTCCCAAAATCTGAGTCTTGAAACTCACTGTTTTCCACTATTTTTCCTGTCTTCCAACTATATACACTCAACATTCTATCACTACTTGTTTGTCTTATAAACTTCCTTCTGTTTTCTAATAACACCTTACGCATAACTGCTGTCTTAAAATAACCACAATGTCCTATTCTGTGGAAAGCATATTCCTTGCTCTAATGAATGACTACATCCCCTTTCATTGTTAGTGCAGTCCTGTTTCTTTGTCAGATAACAAAGTATGAGTAGTTTTTAGAAATAAGTGTGATTTACCATC